CAAGAGTTGGCGGTGGGTGGTGATGACTAGCTGCCTTCCCTCTAGTCTTACACTGCTAAATTAGAGACGGCTAGCACTGGTAGCCCTCGTGTAGCTTTGCACGAAATTCATAACAAACAAACAAACAATCTTAGCAGCATAGCCGTATATCAAAATGTTAATAATAATGTTAATTTTGAAACTCTATAAATCGTAAGCTTGTAAACAAAGATTATTCTTTTCTACCAGCAGTTATATAGGATATTACTCATACGGTTGCATGCTGACATCCTAATGCAATTTTAAATATTCTGATATATATTAAAATACGTATGTTAAAACAACTCATGTATAACTTTACACAATTATTTCAACAAACTTTAAAGGAAAAGGTGTTGTTTTGTGGTTTTTATATAAAAATCGTAGTTAATGTCATTTAAAATTAAATAAACTAAGTACAATATTATTTAATTTTTATACATTGGTTACTTAGTTTGCTTGTTGATAAGTAGAAACCTACACAATGGGCTATCTGTGCTATGGCCTCCGCGGGTATCGAAACACGATTTTTAGTGTGATAAGCCCTCAGATTTGTCACTGAGCTACCGGGAGTACCCATACATTGAAAATACTGATATAACATGGTCAGAAGATATTGGAAGTTTATAAGTATAATCATATTATACCTGCTCCCCAGTGGCACAGCGGTATGTCTGCGGACTTACAACGCTAGAAACCGGGTTTCGATACCCGTGGTGGGCAGAGCACAGATAGCCCTTGTGTAGCTTTGTGCATAATTAAAAACATATTATACCATGTTTTGTATAAACAGCAAACTCGGTTGATATATGTATGTAAATTTATAAGAAATGTTCTCTTTTATCATCAAAATATGTGAATTTCCAGAGGGAAAGAAACATGAGGCTCAATTTATCATACGACTGATCATTAGTCATTGAGTTAGACCGGTTTTCAGACGTTAGTGATAAGCAGAGAACAGATAGCCTATTGTGTAGCTTTGTGCTTAACAACTAACAAACAAGTATTTAAAAGTTAAACTGTGTCAACAATGACGTTTATCAGTTTAGTTAAAAAAATCAACAATGAAGTTTAGAATTGTTCAAAAACTAGTAAATAAATATTCATAAAACAACACAATGTTTTCTTTTAAACTAATAAATAAATATTCATAAAAACATAATGTTTCCTTTTAAACTAATAAATAAATATTCATAAAACAATACAATGTTTCCTTTTAAACTAATAAATAAATATTCATAAGACAATACAATATTATTTTTATAAAACAATACAATGTTTCCTTGTAAAATAGTAAATAACTATTCATAAAACAACTAGTGGCGAGAAACGAACATATTTTAAAGTGAAATTTTCAGCCATAGCATATCGTGTTCTTTTCTCTCATAGTTACATGTTATCAAATAGATTTTGAAAACAGGTAATATATTGAATACGTTTAAGAAGCATCTAATTTTCCGTGGTTGAACCTTTTGACAGGCGAAGATGGCTCCGAAATTTCTGCAGCTGGACAGATGGAGACGATTCTTGGAGTTAAAGGACTGACAGAAGTAAGGTTACATCATTTATTTTAGAAGAAACACATTCTATTGGAATTTATATGACGAGAATGAGAGAAAATTCAAGTATTTCGATCAAACTTATGGGTTTCAGAGGGTGTGATGTCCGTCCCTGGCTCGAAAGTTATGTGTATTAATTCACAAAAATGTTTAAAACTCAATTTTAAAACGACACATGAGGCTTACACAAATATGTACATTTACTGTATAAAACAATTTATGAAGCTTGCACATTGAAGTCAGTAAAATAGTTCATTATTTAGGCCCGGCATAGCCTGGTGGTTAGGGCACTCGACTCGCAATATGAGGGTTGCGGGTTCGAATCCCCGTCCCACCAAAACATGCTCGCCCTTTCAGCCGTGGGGGCGTTATAAGTGACGGTCAATCCTACTATTCGTTGGTAAAAGAGTAGCCCAAGAGTTGGCGGTGGGTGGTGATGACTAGCTGTCTTCCCTCTAATCTTACACTGCTAAATTAGGGACGGCTATCGCAGATAGCCCTCGTGTAACTTTGCGCGAAATTACAAACAAACAAACAAGCAAACAAGTTCATTATTTCGCATCACAACTCTCACTTTTTTATCTTATTATCACCAGTAAGTTTCAATCAATTTACAACGTAACAATATTGTTTATACTCAAATGTTGTGATTTTTATCGATGTTCAATTCTAAAAACTAATCTTGATTTCTACTTTAAACAATTTCTGCCTTTTTACAATTGTGCTTGAGCACTAGTATAGTTATTCTATTACATAACTTAGTAAACTACTAAGTTACGTAAATCTATGCCCCCCAGTGGCACAGCGGTATGTCTGCGGACTTACAACGATAGAATCCGGGTTTCAATACCCGTGGTGGGCAGAGCACAGATAGCCCATTGTGTAGCTTTGTGATTAATTACAAACAAACCTAGTCAAACGTAAATCTAAATTAATTTTATTTTCTACATATATTATCGTGCTTATCAATGCAGACTTTATGGAGATTCAAGTTGAGAATTTATAATATTCACAACCAGATCTTGGCAATTAGCAGCGCTCAATACTCAAGAGCACTATAAACATTCAGAGAAGATTTTATATCAGTTATAAATATCTGAAATCCAACAAAATCTATGTTAAAAGATGAAACTGAAACGTTACCAGATTAAATCAGTTTACTTGCTTCAATATAAGTAACATAATAAACATTCGTCAACCTGATTCTGTGTTAGTTCAATATTTAATACTCTGTAGAAATGCTTTCTTGTTTATTTGTGTCAGTCATTAAATCCAATGATTTGTACTGAATTGTAAAATTTCTGGTATTATCGTGAATCACAGATCGGCCTAACAGAAATATCAGCTTTTAGATAAAGAAAGTAAAATATTTTCCCCGTTCCATATTTCGATAGATAAAAAAATATTTTGTGAAATTATGAAAAAAAAAAGACGACCTTAGGTATGATTTTTGAAAATAAACTACGAACCTGTTTTAAATCAGGGCTTCCTTGTGAACGATGTTTTGTGTGTGTGTGTGTGTGTGTGTTTTTCATTGGCAAGGATAAATAGGCCCTTATGGAGAATATTTAGATTATCTTACACACGTATAAGCATCCGTTCTGGCGAACGGGATAAACCTAGCTTTATTCCCCCTCCTCAAATATTAAAATTTCAAACGTAAATATATATTTAATATTATGTTGAATTTGCTTTAATGTAAATTTAATATATTTTTTGAATTTGATACCGTATTCTGTTGTGTGTGAGGTTAAATATATGAGGTATTAGTAGATGTATAAGTAATTATTTATAATTAAATAGGCTTATATTGCTATATTCTAAATTATATGTTACCTCAAACTTACCAAAAAATGCCAAGTCTGCGTTGAATTTATTCGTGTAATGTGTATGTTAACGCTAAAACTACCGGTTTGGCTAGCAGACGATAGACGCGTATATCAACGAAAAATTGTCGTTTTGCGCACTTTCACTTACGCAGTGAACGCGGCGGATAAACGAGCAAACAAACAGAGAGATTTTGAGTTTTATATATAGATGTTATAATGAATAAAGTTTTAATGAAATATGGTTTTTACAAAGTCAGGTTCTATAATGTTTATGCTGTCGTGTTTATAAATCCATTTTCATGTATATAGATATATTAAATATTTGTTTGAATAACTACTAACTTTAAAGGTTATCACGTTTATCCAATATTTACCCATAAGATACTTTAAAAATACACAGTTTCAATTTTATTTTTCTGACATAGATATGGTCTTCAATAATCCAGTGCTGGGCATCGTCTGTGGCATTTAAAGTTGTTCAATACAGGAGGTATGTCTATGTTTAGAAGCGTATTAATATAGTTGCATGGTATTATGTTAAACACTGAAAATCCAATCATTCAATAGTATAGGAAAAAATTATTACTAAGTTACAGTTTTTCTTCATTTGCATTGGATAATCACCGTGTGTATCAAAAAAGGTTGCTTAAGAATGTACAGCTGATACGTTTGCTAAATGAAGTTAACGGTATTACAGAGGGTTGCGTATATTATATTCAAGTGATTTTGGAGCATCACTGCAGTCTATATTGCTATGTCCAGTTATGCTCAATCTGACGACTGTGCATCTTAACAACAGCCCTACAACGTACTTCTATTGCAAAAAAAACTCTATTGCAAGACCATTGTGTCAAAAACACACCACTCCTCTCTAGAAATATTCCATTATCCATCTAATGTACGAGGACAAAGGTTTTCCCGCAATCACTTCAACAGTCTGATCGCACAGAAATTCATAGGTGCTGTATTTGGTGGCTTGACTAGTATGTCTTTGTATGAAATAGCAAGAATACCTATTTCATTTTCCAGCTCTTGAGGTATGTGATGGTTAAACAGGAGGTATGCTTGGAAGCCTTATCTCGGTGAAACCATACTTTGTTGGCCTTGTTTCCAGACGAAGATCTTTCCTGATTATGTTACGTACTAGATGAATGCTGATTAATGTTTCTTCGTACAATTAAATATGAATAAATGTTTTATCAACATATTTTCTAAAACTTATTTACACTATAGTAGCAAAATATGTATGAAGAATATTTATCTTTTTTCTAGCATTTCACGAAAATAACATTTTTTGTGTATATTTTATCATCATCTGTAAATGGTCCTTGATTAGAAAAAATATCTTACCTAAGGTGAAAAACATCAATAATAATGCATTGTGACACTATCTGCTGTCTTTAAAAGATACTTAAATTGTGTTTGACATAGACTGACACTGGTTTTTATATGTAATGTGTTATGATCCCTAATGTAATCTATAATGGTATTCTTATTTTTCTGAATATTCAAAGAGCTTGATGTAAGTATTATAATAAATATATAAAAACATAAATATAATAATTAACTGGGGTTTGAGCGTGAGACCTTCATATGATAGTTGACCACTATAACCAGTGTGACACCCAGTCTTTATAATTGAATGTTCACAAACAATTCAAATCCCAAATGTAAACTATCATATTATTCGTGTTTTTTTCTAATAATGTAAGAAATTGCTCTAAGCATGATGAGATAATAATTAAAAGTTATAAAAAAATCCCTATTTGAGTAGGATTTGAGCACAAGGCTTCCGCTTGAGACTAACCACTTAGCCAATATGAACATTACCAACAAAATTAGTATCACAAATAGAGAGTAGAGCGTTACCAACAAAGGGAGCATTACGAACAGAATGTGGCTTTTATGTATATATATATAGATTGTTGCACGGGACATATGGACAGCTTTTGCCAATGACCCTTGTATTCGTGAATTCTTATCTATTACAAGACGCTACACTTTGTTTACCATAGCTGTGGTATGACTTTTTGCACGATTATTTCTGGATGGTCTTGAAGCGCTAAGTTGATCTATTTTCGTTTGTTTTCCAATTCCTGTAAGTACAACTTTATATTGTATCATATAAAATTTCCCACAATCGAACTAAAGGTATGTTTTAAAATGGAAGCTACTTTGGAGGAATTTCTACGAATTTTTGTAAAGCAATATTACATCAACGTAATTTGGATAATGAGAACTCATACAAATGTTGAGCAAGTTAGATCAAAATGATTTTAGTGTCTAAACACGTCGTACAGTCCATGTCACCTCGACCATTTATTTTCTATGACAACTGTATATCTTGACAATAGCCTTACAGAGTAGTTTCCATTGTAAGGCTGGCTTTCCATAATCTATATAATTTACGAGGGCCCATTTCAACAGTCTATACAAAAATCCAAAGTTTGGCAACTTGACTAACATTTCTTCATATAGAGTTAAGGACTTATGAGTGAAAGCAAAGAAGAATTGTAATAAAATATCAACTACACTACATCTGCCATATCCAATCCCGATGAGCATGAATATCAATTTCATTCTTCAGCTGCTTGATTGAGCATGTTGTGGAAGCAACTTGTGCCTTTTGTTGCTCCTTCAACTGGAGATCGTTTTTGGTTATATTTGGTACTATTGTCTCGGGTACGTGGTTTGTTTTGTTTTGTTTTTTGGAATTTCGCGCAAAGCTACACGAGGGCTATCTGCGTTAGCCGTCCCTAATTTAGCAGTGTAAGACTAGACGGAAGGCAACTAGTCATCACCACCCACCGCCAACTCTTGGGGTACTCTTTTACCAACGAATAGTGGATTGACCGTCACATTATAACGCCCCCACGGTTGAAAGGGCGAGCATGTTTGGTTGGGGACGGGGGAGTTCGAATTCGCGACCCTCAGATTAC